ATTGTCTAGCAAACAGGAACAGTTCTCTTCTGTCGCATACCTAGTCTGAGGTGTCAAGGAGTTTTAAATGTGGAAAGACCTTATTTAACTATAGTGACCAGAAATCTGTCTCTATAGCAGGCCCTTATTAGTTCCTACTAACAGTCTTCTCTGGAACCAGTGCCCAGTTGCTTTTCCAAAGAGCATGCCATTTACATCAGATAATTCTTATTCTTGGCATTTTACTATTATGTATTACTGAGATTTTTTTTTCAATGTTAGCACTTCTGCCCCGATTATAATGACAATATATATTTCTCATTTTAGATTCGACTTCCACCTGAAGTAAATCGGATTTTGTATATAAGAAATTTGCCATACAAAATCACAGCTGAAGAAATGTATGATATATTTGGAAAATATGGACCTATTCGTCAAATCAGAGTGTGAGTCTTACTGATATTTTTTAAAATGTAATTTAAAGAAAATGATCGTATAATCTGTGATCTCAGAATTACAGCTAAAAGCAGGGCTACCATTTGGAGCTCAGCAGGCTATGCAGTGTGCAGCAGCCCCAACCAAGAGCCTGATCTGCTCCCTTAAAGATTACAGTCTGGGAAACCCTATGGGGCAGTTCTACTTTTCTATAATGTTCTTAAGAGTTAGACTAACTGACTGAAATCTGAGAGAGAGGAGGATTTTTTTTTTATGAGGAGAAAAACAAAAAAGAAAACTGAGACCAAACATGTATATCATCTCTAATGATCCGGTGCAATGAGTGCCAAGAATTGTAGTGGAGGAATTGTAAAGGGAGCATGATGTAGTAATGAATGATTTGAGGAGAGTGGATGAGACAGTAAAGAATTAACATTTACCCACTGCCGTCAATTCGGACCCAACTCAAAGCAACCCCTCCTTGGGTTTCCGAGGCAGTACCACTACGGAAGCAGATTGCCCAACCTTCCTAACCTTTATCACATACTTATTTACAGGAATCCCAGGAGCACTTGGCTGTGGGGCAGTTCTACTTTGTCATCTGTTGATCTGTTTTCCAAAAATTAGCCATTGAAAACCCTCTGGAGCATAGTTCTGCTCTGATGTGCAGGTTGCCATGAATCAGAGTCAAGTCAATAGCAACTAGTTTTCAGAAGCAGTGGTGGTTCACTGGTAGGACTTTGACCTCGTGATAGACCTGGATTCAGTTCCTGGCCAGTGTACCTTAAGTGCAGCTACCATTAGACTTGTGCATTGCTGTGATGCTATATAGGTTTCAGCAGAGCTTCCAGGGGTTGTGCGGACTTTAAGTTAAGAAAACCCTGTTGTATACAAACAATGGCATACAGAATATTCCCTGACTTAAGGACTGAGACAAGGTTCTACTTCAGGCCCTGTTATTAGCCACTAGACCCTAGACAAATTGCCTAACTTTTGGTTTTTAGTTTCTTCATGTGTAAAATAATCTGATAGATGGTGCCTTTGAGCTTCTAGAATGGGTATTTGTTGTTGTTGTTATGTGCCGTCGAGTCGGCCCCGACTCATAGCGACCCCTCCTTGGGTTTCCGAGGCAGTATCACTACGGAAGTAGGAT